ATTACCGGCATAAATTCTTCGTCAGCAGACTTCTTTGAAGAAGGACAACAACTGTGAGTTAAAAGAAACAATGCGAAACCCGTTTTGAACGTGCTAGATAACAAAAACGTGCCGCTTACCTGAACTGAGTTTGGAGTCAATTTGAATTAAGCGGTTGAGCGGAAAATGAATAGTAAATCCCAGAAATCCGATTCCGGAGAGAAAAAAGTTGATTGAAGCCTTTAAAAACTGTAAAAACGCTTATTGTTTAACATTCCTGTGGTGAAGATGGAGCCGTGTGCGCAACTGTAAAATCGAAACTCACGAACAATAGCGTGGGAAGAGCAGGCTGGTGTCACAAAGAAAGAGGTCCGTGTGAAACATCCAGGAAGTTGAATTCCTAGACGGGCATTAGCGAAAGGAAGACAGTGGAACTTTTAAAGGTGCCGGACCGGAAGTGAGTTTTATGCGGAAGGAAGGGCCTGCAAAATACCAATCTGACCTACTCTACATGAAATTACCATAGAGAAGTTGCGCCCGACATTTTGAGGAGGACTTCAACTAAATTTGCTTTTTTAATATATTTCTAAGGGTCTTTGGAAAGCGTAAACAGAGAGGCATGGAGGACTAAATCTTATCATCTAGAAGAGTGCTTTATTTTGCGAATCTGTGAATTGGAAAGAAATCGCCAAGACGGAGACCAGGAGAGGCAAGAAAAGAGCCGACTCAGACCCAGAACTTAAACCCTCACGAGCACAGGATATTGTGATTAAACTTTTATATAAGTGGAGAGATGATAGGACTGCAGAAGATAGACAGTCCAGCCTTGGTTTGCTTAAATGAGCAATCAAGCCTGGTCTGGTAACTTTCATTTTAACCCTTAAATCGCCTTTTCAGTTATATGACACTGGGAAGCAGCACAGGGCTTATTTGGGCTTGCTGGAATCCATTTCCTCTGGTTCCCTGCTGCTAGCTGCTTGAGAGTCACGCATCAGCCCCTAGGCATCTGCTCTGTTATTTTTTCTCTTCCTAGCAGCTGCCTACAGGATACGCTCAGTGTGATATTTTGTAGATATGCCAAGGAACAGAGGCCTAGACTTTATCGTAAGGGACAAGATTCCCTCTGACTGAGTTATGTGTGTGTGTGGATCAGTGATCAGAAGAAGAAGACATTGGATTTATCCCCCGCCCTTCACTACCCGAAGGAGTCTCAGAGCGGCTTACAAACTCCTTTCCCTTCCCCTCCCCACAACAGACACCCTGTGAGGTAGGTGGGGTTGAGAGAGCTCTGACAGAAAGGTCTCTTTTTCAAGGACAGCTCTTATCAGAACTACGGCTTGCCCAAGGTCATCCACCAGGTGCAAGTGGAGGAGTGGGGAATCAAACCCGGTTCTCCCAGAGTAGAATCTGCGCACTTAACCACTACACCAAACTGGCTCTGCTTGTGGAATAGGCCTGGTGGAACAGGCCAAGCCCAGCCCAAACTGGAAGATGTGAAAGCTTGCAGACTCTGAGTCTTGAGAGGGAGGGTCTTACAGGGCTGTCTGAAGGGGGGAAAGGAGCTTGCAGGAAAACCAGTTTGGTGTAATGGTTAGGTGCGTGGACTCTAATCTGGGAGAACCGGGTTTGATTCCCCACTTCTCCACATGCAGCCGGCTGGGTGACCTTGGTTCAGTCACAAGTTCTCTCAAGAGCTCTCTCAGCCCCACCTACCTCCCAGGGTGTCTGTTGTGAGGAGGGAAAGGGAAAGGAGTTTGTAAGCCTCTCTGAGACTCTGAGTGACGGGCGGGGTATAAATCCAGTCTCTTCTTCTTACATGGTTGTGGGCAGCCACAGCTTTTTATTTGATTTATTTATTCATTTATGTCCCTCCTGTCTCCCCAGTGGGGGACCCAAAGCAGCTTACATGATTCTCTTCTCCCTCGTTGTGTCTTCACAACAACCCTGTGGGGTAGATTAGGCTGAGAGAGTGTGAGCTTCCATTGTGGAGTGGGGATTTGAACCTGGGTCTCCCAGATCCTGGTCTGATACTCTTAACCACTCCCCCACCCTGGTTCTTGAAGTATGACGTTGGATTTGAGAAGGATAGCGTGGCAACGCTGGCGATTTTTATTTATTTATTGACTTCATACTTGCCCAAAGCAACTTGCGTTGTTCTGCTCTTCCTCATTTTATCCTGTCTTTTAAACAGTCTGCGGGCGGTTGTCCTGTATGTTTAAGCCTAACGGCTATATTTACGTCAGATCTCTCTTGCTTTGTCTTCTGCAATAAATAGATAGTACACAGACTTGGGGTTTAGAATTCATTCTTCAAGACACGCAGTAAAGAATTTTGTGGCGTTTTACGGTTGAATACTGTTACTGTGCACTTGTAGGCTGCAGCCTGCTTCTTCAGATGTATGCAGTTTGCTAGGAAGGTTTCTTCGTATATTGTCTGTAATATATGGATCCACTTTATGTGTCTGAGAGCGTGTCATGATCTGGGCTGTGCCATCGGAGTCCTACTAGGCCCAGGGAGCCTGGCTAGCAGTAGGGGAGGCTGGGCCTACAAACCCCAGAAGGCCTTGGGAAGTTTTGACACCAATTTTGACCAATAGGGAAGAAAAGGGCTGGGGAATAGAAGAACTGGTACTGGTACTTCAGTGGGAAGGTAACAGCGTTCTGTGCACCTTGGTGTTTAGTCATGCCGGCCACATGACCACGGAAACGTCTTTGGACAGTGCTGGCTCTTCGGCTTGGAAACGGAGATGAGCACCGCAACCCTAGAGTCAGATTTGACTGGATTTCAAGCAAGGGAACCTTTACCTTTACTAGAGGAAAAGCTGTTCTTCTTTCCAGGGAACAGGGCCAGAAGGGAAGCTGCTGTGGGGAAGAAACCCTCATCCTGAGAAGAAAGGGTGAGCAGACTGAGGCCCACTTATAGTGAGCTAGGGACAGTATATATTTAGAGGTGTTAGGGCATTTGATTTCTTTTCTTTTCACCCACTTACTGTTGTTATTCTTGCACCTTGTTTGTTTGACAGCCTATAAAATAAACCTTTTCCTTGTTGCTTACTCTGCCTGGTCTTCACGCCTATTATTCGGCCAAAAGGGAGGTCTGAAGGTCTTGGGAGGGTGCTCTGGGCCTGCTGAAGGGGATCCTAAATCCAGAGTGGTGGCAGCGTCAGGTGACACCCCACCTGTACATTTTAGTCTGTAAGATGCCACAAGATTTTTTCTTGTTGCAGCTAATTAACACCACTACTCTTCTAGAATTCTGCAGAATGTTACCTTTTGGAAGCAAAAGTAAATGGTAACGAAGGAAGACTGACTACCTCACTTTACTGATGTCTAGAAGTTAATTGCGGGTAGATTTTCCTTACTGCAATTGCTCAGCCAGAGACAGATGAAGAGCAGGGGTTATATTTGAGCTGCTTCAGGCAGCAGTTTGGTTACTATACAAACTGGGTTACCCTTCGTGGTTTTTTCAGTAGCTGGTTGCATGTCTTAAAAAGGACTCTGTGTGTGTGTGTGTGTGTGTGTGTGTGTGTGTGTGTGTTCTGTGTCATTATTCACATTCCTAAAAATAACAATTGGGTAATATTGGTCTACTTTACAGGACTTTAAGGTTTATTAGATAACTTGACAAATCCCAGGTGACAGGTACCCATCAATGTTCCCTCTAAGCTGTGGAGTCTTGTGAGCAAAGATTCTACTGTGTGAGCTACTGGCATTAAACTTGTGAGCGAGCAATTTGGCTGCTGCATAAATTAGTTTGCTCTGGAGCCAGTTTGGTCTAGTGGTTAGGTGCGCGGACTCTAATCTCGGAGAACCAGGTTTCATTCCCCACTCCTCCACTCGCACCTGGTTGGATGACCTTGGGCAAGCCATAGTTCTGATAAGAGCTGTTCTTGAAAAAGAGCAGTTTCTGTCAGAGCTCTCTCATCCCCACCTACCTCACAGGGTGTCTGTTGTGGGGAGGGGAAGGGAAAGGAGTTTGTGAGCCGCTCTGAGACACCTTTGGGTAGTGAAGGGCGGGGTATAAATCCAATCTCCTCCTCCTCCTCTTCTTCTTCCTGAACTAAGGGAAAAATGTGTGAGCTGGAGGCTAAAAAACTGTGAGCTAGCTCACACTAACTCAACTTAGAGGGAACACTGGTACCCATAGCACCTAGGAATTTCAGCAGTGACTTGTATTATGATGACAGCCAGGGTTACTCCTATATTTATATGCCTGAATGCTTGTGTTGTATCATAGCTTGAATAAAATGATGATCAACTGAGAAGTGTTAGTAGTTGGAACTGGCTGGCCACAGTGTGAGACAGGATGCTGGACTAGATGGACCACTGGTCTGACCCAGCAGGGCTCTTCTGATGTTCCTATGAAGGCCTCGGCCTCTCTGCCCTGTTGTTGGCCCTCCAGAGGAACTGGTTGGCCACTCTGTGAGACGGGATGCTGGACCAAATGGACCACTGGTCTGATCCAGCAGGGCTCTTCTGATGTTCATATGAAGGCCTCGGCCTCTATGCCCTGTACTTGGCCCTCCAGAGGAACTTGTAGGCCATTGTGTGAGACACGATGCTGGACCAAATGGACCACTGGTCCGATCCAGCAGAGCTCTTCTGATGTTCATATGAAGGCCTCGGCCTATATGCCCTGTACTTGGCCCTCCAGAGGAACTTGTAGGCCATTGTGTGAGACACAATGCTGGACCAAATGGACCACTGGTCTGATCCAGCAGGGCTCTTCTGATGTTCTTTTGAAGGCCTCGGCCTCTCTGCCCTGTTGTTGGCCCTCCGGAGGAACTGGTTGGCCACTGTGGGAGACAGGATGCTGGACTAGATGGACCATTGATTCGATCCAGCAGGGTTCTTCTGATGTTCTTAGGTTTTTAAAAACTTATGGTATGCTGACAATGATGGTCATATATTTCTCTCAGAACTGATGCACAATAAAACAAGGAATTCAAATCAAGGCAATTCAGCTGAAGCTCCATGGTACAAGCTGTTGCATTTATATTCTGCTCCTTTTGTACTTTGCAGAGAAGAGCACTGAGAAGGACCTGCTCAGCTCCATCTTGGATATTGAAGATCTTGTCAGAAATGGAAATAAGCACCGGTAATTGTTCTTCTGCACTCTTTTGTGCTCTTTTGGAAGTTTACTGGCCACCTCTGGCTGAGATGGCCTGAAAAGGTACAGGGGAAGTTCTGGTTTACCAAATGCTTTAGTCTTGTGCATTAATTCATTGTAATACCAAACAAAGTGAGATATAAGAACATAATAGAAGCCAATGTTGGATCAGGCCAATGGTCCATCCGGTCCAACACTCTGTGTCACACAGTAGCCAGAAATACCGGGGGCCATCAGGAGGTCCACCAGTGGGGCCAGGACATTAGAAGCCATCCCACTGTTGACCCCCCCAAGCACCAAGAAGACAGAGCATCACTTGCCCCAGACCAAGAGTCCCTATCTATACCTTGTGGCTAATAGCCACTGATGGACCTCTGCTCCATATGCTTATCTAATTCCCTTTTGAAGCCGTCCATGCTTGTGGCCGCCACCACTTCCTGTGGCAGTGAATTCCAAGTGTTCATCACTCTTTGGGTGAAGAAGGACTTCCTCTTGTCCGTTCTAACCCGACCGCTCAGCAGGTGCCCTCAGGAGGTCCAGGAGTGGGGCCAGGACACTAGAAGCCCTCCCACTGTCTCCCCCCAAGCACCAAGAATATAGAGCATCATTTGCCCCAGAATCCCTATCTATACCTTGTGGCTAATAGCCCCCGATGGACCTCTACTCTATATGCATATCTAATTCCCTCTTGAAGCCGTCCATGCTTGTAGCCGCCACCACCTCCTGTGGCAGTGACTTCCACGTGTTAATCATTATTTGGGTATTATTTCTAGTCTAACACTCTGTCCAGTACACCACACTGGTTCTGGCCCCCTTTTAAAGCCATCTAAAGATCTGGCCTCCGTGGCTGTGAGTTCCACAGATCAATTGCAAATTATGTGAAGAAAGTCTCTCTTTTGGAAGGTGTGTATGGGGAGCCCCTTGGGTACCCTAACTTCAGCCCATATTAGAACCACTTACGACTTTCTTGCATTTGCACCCTTCTTCCCCTTTTGTTTTCTCTTGCTCGGTTTCTTGGCTGGTGAAAACTACCTCCTGCTAGTTTTTCTCCCCCTCAGTGTCTTCCCCGGGTTATTTTGCTGCACTTACATGGTTTATTCATTCCGAACGTTCCCTTTTATGAAACGCCTGTGCGAAAGTCTCCTCCCGGACACCACAGACCATCTGCCTTCCAGATCCGGTGGGCGAGACCAGTCCGTTAAGAAGCTGACGAGAAACCCCTGAGAGCAGAGCAGATTATTAGGGAAAGGATATTGGGCTTCTTGGCTGCATTGTCTACATCCCCCCCCCTTTTTTTCTTTTCTCCAAAACAGAGTTTGCCCTTATTATCTCTCGAGAAATCTGAAGCAGCAAGCGGACATCATTTTCATGCCTTATAACTATTTATTGGATCCAAAGGTATGTGTCGGTTGTCGCTTTTTTGCTTCAAAATGCACTTTGTTTTGTTGATAGCTTCTGAGGGTAGCCGTGTCGGTCTGCAGTAGAAGAACTAGATTGGAGTCCAGCGGCACCTTAGAGACCCACAAAGAGTCTTGGGAAATGAGCTTTCAAGAGTCAAAGACTGTGTCTGATGAAGGGAGCTTTGATCGTTGAAACCTTACAGCCTGAAGCTCTTGTTGATCTCTGGGGGGCTACTGGGGTTGAATCTATCTGTTTTTACTGAACATACCAAAAAGATGTCTGTGGTTGCGTACCGGGAAAGGGGAAAGCCCCAGTTAATTACAGAACACAGTAAAATAAAACGCTTATGATTGGAGGGTGTTGTTTTTTTAAAAAGGCAGGGCTATTTTTGGGCAGGAACGCACAGGAACGGAGTTCCGACTGGCTCCCGAGTTGGCCACGCCCAGCAGGAACTCATTAGCATAATAGGCCACACCCAACAGCAGGAACTCATTACGATTGGCTACATTAGGGGTGTGTGGCCTAATATGCAAAGGAGTTCCTGCTACAAAAAGGCCCTGGGTTTTGACAAAAAACAAGGTAAACAGAATAACAAGCAAAAGGTGGGTGTGGCTGGATAACCACACTTCTGGTAACATGGGGGTGCGGCCTAATGTGCTAATGAGCTGTGTTGGCAGGGGTGTGGCCTAATGGGCTAATGAGTTTCTGCTGTTGGGTGTGGCCTATTATGCTAATGATTTCCTGCTGGGCTTTTTTTACAAAAAGAGCCCTGAAAAGGAATACATTCGTTTTACTTAGAATATCAAAGCTTCATGTTTACTTCTCTGTAACATTTCTCCCTTTTAGGAAAGGGCAGTGATGTGAGTTTTCCGGGAAAACTTGAGCTGGAAAACTTTCCAGCGTCCAAAACAGAGCACCAACTGATTTTGCATATTAATTATATATTTTTTACTTCATTATCATCCACCTCTCTCACTGAGACTCGAAGTGAATCATAGCATTATAAAAGCAGCGCAATAAAGACGAGGGCTAGACATACCATAAGCAAGTTAATAAAACCGAATTGCCCCCATTAGAGGAGAACAAAATAGAAACCGTGTACTGCGTCCAGTAGGAGGGAACAGAGGACCAGAGAAAACTACCCCGCCTGTTTACACGGAAGAATTAAAATACTGCAACCCCGTTCTCGGTTAAAAAGTGCCCGTTTGCACATTTCTGTTTTATCATGCTCACCCTTTAAATTTTGTTGCTCGAGTGCAACTAATACAAAGTACCCCACGTCCTCTGTGTGCAGCTGCTGGTGTGACCTTGGGTCAGTCACAAGTTCTCTCAGAGCTGTTCTCTCAGCCCCGCCTACCTCACAGGGTGTCTGTTGTGGGGAGGGGAAGGGAAAGGAGTTTGTAAGCTGCTCTGGGACTCCAAGTGAAGGGTGGGGTATAAATCCAGTCTCTTCTCTCTTCTCTTTTTTCCTCTTCTGTTTTGCAGAGCCGAAGAGCTCACAACTTAGACTTAAGGGGGACAGTAGTGATACTGGACGAAGCTCACAACGTGGTAAGTGAAACTGCAGCTGTTGTGTTCACCATCTCTACCAAACGGAGTTGCTTCTGCATGTGTGAGATTCCGCTTAGGACAGGAACCAGAGTAATCTTTGGATATCGGGTCCCACAAGAAGTACTGAGAAAGCCAAAAAAAAAATATTGATTCTGTTTCTACCCTGCCTTATTTATTATTTATTTATTAGTTGTATTTATAGCCCACCCATCCCGCAAGCGGGCTCAGGGCTCTTCTCTGCAAAGTATAAAAAGAGCAGAATATAAATAAATGTAACAGCTTGTACTATGGAGCTTCAGCTGAATTGCCTTGAAGAACATCAGAAGAACCCTGCTGGATCGAATCAATGGTCCATCTAGTCCAGCATCCTGTCTCACACAGTGGCCAACCAGTTCCTCTGGAGGTCCAGCAACAGTGCAGAGAGGCTGAGGCCTTCATAAGAACCTAAGAAGAGCTCTGCTGGATCAGGCCAGTGGTCCATCTAGTCCAGCATCCTGTCTCAAACAGTGGCCAGCCAGTTCCTCTGGAGGGCCAACAACAGGGCACAGAGGCCAAGGCCTTCATAAGAACATAAGAAGAGCCCTGCTGGATCAGCCCAGTGGTCCATCTAGTCCAGCATCCTGTTCCACACAGTGGTCAGGCAGTTCCTCCGGAGGGCCAACAACAGGGCAGAGAGGCTGAGGCTTTCATAAGAACATCAGATGAGCCCTGCTGGATCAGACCAGTGGTCCATGTAGTCCAGCATCCCGTCTCACACAGTGACCAACCAGTTCCTATGGAGGGGCAACAACAGGGCAGAGAGGCCAAGGCCTTCATAAGAACATCAGAAGAGCCCTGCTGGATCAGACCAGCAGTCCATCTAGTCCAGCATCCCGTCTCACAGAGTGGCCAACCAGTTCCTCTGGAGGGCCAACAACAGGGCGTAGAGGCCAAGGCCTTCCCCTGATGTTACCTCCTTGCTCTGAGATTCAGAGGATTGGTGCCTCTGAATGTGGAGGTTCCTCTCAAGCCCCCACTTTTTCCCACTTGTTTCTGTTATGCTGCTATCTTTCTAGGACAGGAACTGTGCTCTCACATAGGTGGGAGTGTTTGTGCTGCAGCAGCTTATAGTCTAACCACCCCCGCAAAGTCACATTTTGTCTGCGTCCCTAGGAGAGGCTGTGCGAAGAGTTGGCATCGTTTGACCTGACCCCCTACGATTTAGCTTCAGCTATCGACGCCGTCAACGTAGTGTTGGAAAAACAAGCCAAAGAGGTCCAGCAGAGTGAAATCAACTCTGAATTCAGCGCAGACTACGACAGAACAGGTATGTTCATGTCTGCCATCCAGTCAGTAACTTCTGTTACACAGTGGGTTTATAAAGTTATGCTTGGGGTGGAGACAGTGTGTAGAGAATTTTATCTTCCTCTCCCGGAATCCTAGACCACGGGTACCCCATGAAGTTGGTGGGCAGTAATTGCAGGGCAGGCGGGGGTGGGGGGTGTACGTCTTTACTCAATGAGTAGGTTTTTTAAAAAAATAACGTTTATTAGATTTTGCCATCATACAACAACAGAGATTAACATGGCTATATCCATTTTCCAAACAGCATGTTATCAGATGAAGCAAACCCAAAACAAAACCGCAAACATCACAAAGCATAGTAAGACTACAACCATTTTACAATCAGGTAGCGAACCAGCATACTAACCAAAGCATTCCAGAGTTAGTCTAACATCTATTCAGTTGCCACTACAATACAAGCGGTGTTGCGTGTTCAAACTGTCCGAAGTTGATCAGCCACATTTTGCACCACCTTGGTTCTTAAGCCGCCCCCCCCGCCCCCCCGGTAGAGCACCTTGCGATAACACGGACTCAAGTTTTACAACAGTGTGGGCAGACGTGGCCAACTGAGCCTAGAATCAGGAATAATTTTCCTACTTGATGCAGCTGAAAGAAGGTTCCGCTCATCACCATACTGATCTGCCTCTCTGATAACAGCTGGCTCTTAAGTGCGTCAGCTGTTACACGGTTTGCTCCACCCAAAGTAGGTCGCTCAGTCACCTCTAGGACATCAGGCCCACCAACAAGTTTTTTTAATCTAGATTCAGTTTCAGCTTGTTTTCCCTCAGCTGCTTGGCCATCCAGGCATTGGCCCAGGACAGAGCTCCTGGAGGCTTAATTAATGAAATTTAGAGTTGTAGGTCATCAGTGTCTCCTCCCCTCCAACATTCATGGGAGCCAGTTTGGTGTCGTGGTGAAGTTCGCAGACTCTAATCTGGGAGAACCGGGTTTGATTCCCCACTCCTCTACATGCACCTGCTGGTGTGACCTTGGGCAAGCCATAGCTCTGATAAGAGCTGTCCTTGAAAAAGAGCAGTTTCTGTCAGAGCTCTCTCAGCCCGCCTACCTCACAGGGTGTGTCTGTTGTGGGCAGGAGAAGGGAAAGGAGTTTGTAAGCCGCTCTGAGACTCCTTTGGGTAGTGAAGGGCGGGGTATAAATCCAATCTTTTCTTCTTCTTCTACCTCACAGGCTGTCTGTTGTGGGGAGGGGAAGGGAAAGGAGTTTGTAAGCCGCTCTGAGACTCCTTTGGGTAGTGAAGGGCAGGGTATAAATCCAATCTCTTCTTCTTCTTCTACCTCACAGGGTGTCTGTTGTGGGGAGGGGAAGGGAAAGGAGTTTGCAAGCCACTCTGAGACTCCTTTGGATAGTGAAGGGCAGGGTATAAATCCAATCTTTTCTCTTCTTCTTGTTCGTCATCCGAATCCTATCTGAGAAGTCGCTGCCAGCTCACGCTCACTTGGGAAGGGTACATGAGCGCACACTTGCTTATTTAATTTCAAATACTTACTCCTATTTAGCTCGTTTGACCAGCGGTCTTAAAGCTTAAACAGAACCAAAATAAAATTTCTAACATCGGTTGATATTGCGTAGGACAATTAGAACAAATGCAATAAACAGATGATAGAATATGAATCTTCATAATATAAAAACCATAGAACCATAAAAGTTTTGGAGAAGGTTGAAATTCCTTAATATAATAAATACGCTGAGTAAGAGTTAATGAAAGGTTAAGAGAACTTTTCATTTAATATACACATATTAAGCAGACATTGCCAGTGACACTGTGTATAATATGATGTAATAGTATGTATAACGTTCCAAAATGTATGAGTTTTTTGTTGCAAACACGTTACGTGGAAAATAATAAAATATTAATTCAAAAAAATAATAATGAAAGGTTAAGAGGAGATAGGGTAGACCCGGGGTGGCCAAACTGCGGCTCGGGAGCTACACGCGGCTCTTTCACACATATTCTGTGGCTCCCGGCAGGGCGGCTGGGGAAGCGAAGGGGAGGCGTGCCTCCCTGATCGGTCATCCCTTCCCCAGCCAGAGTTCCCTTCCCTGGGTAGGCTTGAAGTGGGGGCGGGAGAGCAGAGAAAGAAAGCATTTTTAACTTTAAATACGTTCTCGCAGTTTGGACGTTAAATACAAATATTGGACAAATAAATATCATTACCAATATCTGTTTTTACCCCTTTTGGTTTTATTTTTGCCAGTCTCAAGTTTAATGTTAATAAAAAGCAAATTTACATGTTTTCCCAATAAAAACGTAATATTTGTTCGTGTCGTGCGGCTCTCAAACATCTGACGTTTATTCTCTGTGGCTCTTACGTTAAGCAAGTCTGGCCACCCCTGGGGTAGACTTTCTGTTATTTACTTTCACACGCTGGGGATACAGAAGGGGAGAGAGGTGGGTGATGTTTCTTAGGAACCCGCTTGGGAGCCCGGAAATAAGAACTGAGTTTCTTTCTCAAACAGGGCTGAACATGACGCTTGAAGACATAGCGAAGATAAAGAGTAAGTTTCATCATCCGGTTAATCTCTCCTCTGTAAAGACATGTTTTGAAGTGCCTCGAAGTTGCCTTCAGTACAGTCAGGGCTATTTTTGGGCAGGAACGCACAGGAACGGAGTTCCGGCTGGCTTCCAAGCTGGCCACGCCCAGCAGGAACTCATTAGCATAACAGGCCACACCCAAACAGCAGAAACCCATTAGGATTGGCTACATTAGGGGTGTGTGGCCTAACATGCAAAGGAGTTCCTGCTATAAAAAAGCCCTGGGTTTTGACAACAAGCAAGGTAAACAGAATAAGAAGCAAAAGGTGAGTGTGGCTGGATGAGCACACTTCTGGTAACATGAGGGTGTGGTCTAATATGCCAATGAGCTGTGCTGTCAGGGGTGTGGCCTAATATGCTAATGAGTGTCTGCTGTTGGGTGTGGCCTATTATGCGAATGAGTTCCTGCTGGGCTTTTTCTACAAAAAAAGCCCTGAGTACAGTTAAGAGGATCATGTAGAGTGGCTGGTGAATTTCTCAATTGTGGAGATGCTCCAGAACTTATACTTTGTATGCCCGCTTGCTCGTGTTCTGCAGCAGTACACCAAACAATTGCTGACATAGACTGTACATGAAGTTCTGAACATCTTTAATTGTGTGCAGAGAGAACCAAAGGAGGCTCAAGGATAAAGCATACATTCACAGGGGTGCTGTGTGTGTGTCTGCATGCAGAACAAACTTGTGCAAGTAGATTCCTGAGCTTGAATGAAACATCTGCTGTGGATGAGAGAGACTAGTTAATTTGTTGGGGACTTGTTGAATATGGAAGGATGTCTGTACATCCTAAGCTGGAGAGCTGCAGTTGATTTGCATTTTTTAATTGCCTCTAATTAATGCAATTTGCATATCGTCTTCATGCTCCCAACATATGCCAAACCACTGACACGATTTCTTCTTAATCAGTATTTTTTTTAATTCTGAAAGCGTCATCCACAAACACGAACAAATCTCATATCAGTCTTGGGGAGGGAGGGAATCTTCACATGACAAGTTATACAAATGAGAAGCATTATGAATTCGGGCTTTGCAATACATGGTTCCTTCTGTCCGCTCCTTTTTGCTGTCAGTGTGGTTCTAGCTGCCGTAGGCGAGGAAGATACTGAACTTAATAAAGCTCAGTATCCTCCTCGCCTACGAGAGCTAGAAACTCATTTTTCCCACTTAAAAGTTGGATTTCTCAGGTGGCTGACCAGACTCTCAGTTGAGCCAAAGATGCCTGCCTGCTTCCCAATACCAGTTCACATTGCTGTTCCTTTGCCCATCCAAAGGATTTGGTGGTGTGAGACATATGAGCAGCATGAATGCTGCAGGCAGTCTCCTCCAGTTTGGTGTAGTGGTTAAGTGCGCAGACTCTAATCTGAGAGAACCGGGTTTGATTCCCCACTCTTCCGCTTGCGGCTGCTGGTGTGACCTTGGGCAAGCCATACTTCTGTGTCAGAGCTGTTCTCTCAGGAGCAGTTCTGTCAAGTGCTCTCTCAGCCCCACCTACCTCACAGGGTGTCTTGTGGGGAGGGGAAGGGAAAAGAGTTTGTAAGCCGCTCTGAGACTTCGAGTGAGTGAAGGACGGGGTACGAATCCAATCTCCTGCTCCTCCTGTCTTTCTGGGTCTAAGAGATTGTGCAGCCTAGATGCTTTCTTTCAGTAAAGGAGCAGGAGGGGGGGAATTTCAAGAAAAACGACTTGCCCTTTCAGGAGTAGTCATATTTCTGGCAACACTAAGCCCCCTCCCCCTTTCATTTTGTTTGCCCCAAAGGGATTCTTCTTGAACTGGAAGATGCTATCGAAGCTGTGGAACTACCACCAAGTGGAAATGGGGTGACTAAAGATGGAGGGTACGTTCTGTGGTCGTTCACCTTATTTTTGCACTTCTGGCCTCACAAAACAGCATTGTTGGTTTTAGATGGTAGCCACGTTGATTAGAACGGAAGAGGAATGCTTAGGGCGTTTCTAAGCATTTCTCCTCCTCTCTAACTTAGCTAGTTGCAACATGCATAGTTGCAACGACGCCTTTCTCTGCAACACCCCTCCCATCTTCAGAGTGGGATATAAGGGCAGAGGGATCTCCATCCCAACTTGTATCTGACAAAGGGAGCTTTGACTCTCGTATCCCGTAATCCCTGCTCCGGTGGGGAGGGCGGGATATAAATCAAATAAATAAATCTTGTTGATCTCTGTGGTGTCCTCGCCTATTGGGGAGACGGTTTTACCTTTAAAGCACACTCTGTGTACATGTACTCGGTAGATTTCTGCTGCCACCAGGAATAAAATATTCCAACTCTATTGTGGTAGAATGACCCAGGGTCTGGGCACTTCAGAGGACTATGTGGCCTTGAGAAAGGACTATTCTGATTGCTGGGATAAGTTTAAACAAAAAAATTATTTATTTATTTATTTATTTGATTGATTTCTATCCCACCCATTCTGGCCTAGGCTGGTCTACTGGACTAGAATCTAGCTGTACTTTGGTTTTGCATGAAGATAGATTCAGGCGGGTCGCTGTGTTGGTCTGAAGCAACAGGACAAAGATTGAGTCCAGCGGGGCACCTTTAAGACCAACAAAGTTTTATTCAAGGTATCAGCTTTTATGTGCATGCGCGCTTCTTCAGATATGAAATGTGTTGTTGTTGTTCAGTCGCACAGTCGAGTCCGACTCTTCGCGACCCCATGGACCAGATCACGCCAGGCCTTCCGGTCTTCCACCGTCCTCTGAAGTTGGCTCAACTTCATGTTCGTTGCATCGATGACACTGTCTAACCATCTCATCCTTTGCCCAGGTTGAACTGCTCGGTCTTTCTCCCCTTCTCTAATTCCCAGGGTGGTCAAAGAAGCGTAATTGGATGAATGTCTCCATTTTAACAGGGTGGGTCACTGTGCTGGTCTGAAGCGGCAGCACAAAGTCTTGAGTCCAGTGGGCACCTTTAAGACCAACAAAGTTTTATTCAAGGTATAAGCTTTTATGTGCATGTGCGCTTCTTCAGATATGAAATGTGCATGCACACAAAAGCTTATACCCAGAATGAAACTTTGTTGGTCTTAAAGGTGCCACTGGACTTGGACATTGTGGTTTTGTATGTGCAGCCGCAGGGTCTTTGAAAAATACGTCCTCTCGATAATTCTCAGGTCTGAGTCAAAAAGGCAGCTGAGTACGCACAGTGCACCGGTTCCTCTGTTCGCCGGGTTGCTCACATGCAGCGGCTCCCCTCTGAGAGTTGGTGTGATGTTGTGAGTGTGCTGGACTAGGACCGCAGGGACCTGGTGTCAGTCTCTGCTTAGCCACAAAGCTCATGGGGAGAGCAGTCTGAAGCAAGCCTGCTTGGAAACGTCCCATTTTATTCGAAGGGCCTTTCTTCCAGAAAAGAGGGGTGTTTTTTTAGGACTGCAGCCGAAAAGGTCAGGGGCCAGCCGCTATGGCTTAGCCCGCTGACCTCACCTAATGCAATGAATCTGGTGACTTTTACCATGCCACTGGTTCAGGGATTGTTGCTCAAAAAAGAGGTTTTCGTAAACTTTTATGCTGTACAGTACTTTGATAAACTCACCTAGCATTCCTCCTAGCACCTTGGAGACCAACAAAATTTTGGGGGGGAAGAAGAAGAGGAGGAGGAGGAGGAGGAGAAGATTGGATTTATATCCCGCCCTTCACTACCCGAAGGTGTCTCAGAGCGGCTTACAAACTCCTTTCCCTTCCCCTCCCCACAACAGACACCCTGTGAGGTGGGTGGGGCTGAGAGAACTCTGACACAAACTGCTCTTTTTCAAGGACAGCTGTGCCAGAGCTTGTGACTGACCCAAGGTCACATCAGCAGGTGCAAGTGGAGGAGTGGGGAATCAAACCCGGTTCTCCCAGATTAGAGTCCGCGCACTTAACCACCACACCAAACTGGCTCTTTGAGGGTCAAAGTTTGGTGTTGTTAAGTGCGTGGACTCTAATCTGGGAGAACCGGGTTTGATTCCCCACTCCTCCACTTGCACCTGCTGGATGACCTTGGGCAAGCCATAGGTCTGGCACAGCTGTTCTTGAAAAAGAGCTGTTTCTGTCAGAGCTCTCTCAGCCCCACCTGCCTCCCAGGGTGTCTGTTGTGGGGAGGGGAAGGGAAAGGAGTTTGTAAGCTGCTCTGAGACTCCCTTGGGTAGTGAAGGGCGGGGTATGAATCCAATCTCCTCTTCTCCTCTTCCTCCTCCTTGTCAGATTACTGATGAGGAACTAGGATTAGATTGTTGTTAGTCCCAGCTGCTAGGATTTACACAGTCCTGTATTGAGACCGGTTCAGAACAGGCGTTTGAAGTTCATAAACCTGTTTATGTTTGCAGGGAAATGCCGATATGTTAGCGAGTGATGAGACTAAGACTTCATTTTGTATAGGTGTGTTTCAAGCCTGGGAGTTAATACTGAAGCTTCTTTTACTACTACTTGTTTGTTTCCTTTAAAAAAAGGAGATAAGGATATGTTTAATAGAAATGGTCGTTTGACTTTAGCTCGTTAGCCTAAAGTCCTGATGGCAAAACTGTAGAAGCAAGACCATTTACCTTCAGTGGGCATATAAAAGAGAAAGATTTGGGAGTGTTGTGTTAACGAATAAATTAACTCCTTGTAAGCATCTTTGGGAAGGGAAAACAGTCCCACAGGAACATTTTAAAGGACAGCATTACCTTTTCATTTCGGAACAGATGTCTTCCTGGTGAAAACGTCAGAGAAGGATTTTCAGGCGTTATATAATTAAATATTTGTGTTGGCACTCCGTTTGGGACCGGATTCTTTGTATTTTTCCTCTTGTACACTTGTAATAGAAATTCATTTTTTAAAAAAAGATAGTGAACGAGATTATTGGGCCTTTTGATTAAAAGTATTGGAGACCGGAAGATCGTGACCTGGCAGGATGATGCTGTTGACAGATTCTGTCTTGTCTTACTTGTGTGTTTCTTCCTCAATTCACAGGTACATATTTGACTTGTTTGCCAAGGCTCAGATTACATTCCAAACGCAGAACTCTCTCCTGGAGGCCCTCGAACAAATCCTTCAGTACTTAGCAGGCTGTAAGCATACTTCATTTCCTTTCTTTTCTTTCTTTCTAGTTTAATAGTTTAATGTTAATGTCTTATAGTTCTTATCTGCTTTTATGTTGTTTTTAAAACTTTTTCTAAAGAGCCAGTTTGGTGTAGTGGCTAGGAGCGCGGACTCTAATCTGGGAGAACGGGGTTTGATTTCCCCACTCCTCCGCTTGCAGCTTGCTGGTATGACTTTGGGTCAGTCACAAGTTCTCTAAGAGCTGTTCTCTCAGGAGCAGTTCTCGGGAGAGCTCTCTCAGCCCCACCTACCTGACAGGGTGTCTGTTGTGGGGAGGGGGAGGGAAAGGAGATTATAAACTGCTCTGAGACTCCTTTGGGTAGTGAAGTGCAGGGTGCAGGTTCTCTTCTTATTATCTGTGTGGTTTTAATGTTGGAAGTCGCTGCAAGCTCCTTTGGGTGAGCGGCGACAAAAAAACCCCCATAGAAGTAAAAATTAAGAGGAAATTGGGGGGGGGGGGGGGGGAAGCGGCAGAACCAACAGACATAGTGATAATTCAAATGAAGGTACAAGGACCCAATCTGTCTGAGCCTGTGAGCGCCTTTGGGGTTTTGAGTGTCAAGGGAGTTTTGAGTGGGAAGGGAGCGGTGGCGCAGGCAGTAAGAACGCCTGCAAGTAACATCAACGAACAGCCAGTATGGCTGTTCGAGACCCACCGCGGCCGGAGTGAGCTCCCGGCCCTAGTCCCAGCTCCCGCCCACCCAGCGGTTCGAAAGCATTAAAAATGGCAAGTAGATAAATTGGGTACCTGCCCTAGGTGGCGGGGGGCACCCTCCTCCTTGAGGTGAAGGCATCAGCGACGACGGCGGCGGCAGAATGGCAATGGTGGCGGTGCAGTTCCTGGTGACCCAGCAGAGCAACGTCGGAGGCGGAGCCCGGAAAAAAGGCGGAGCCTGGAGAGCGTGGTGACGTGCGGCGCAAGCACGGCGGAGCCATCTAGGACAGTAGCCGGAGCTACAGCCAACACGGAGTCACACACCAAACGAGTCCTACCAGAGGAAGCCACCCAAAAAAGGAAAGAGCGGCTCCAGAAGGGCACCAGGATGCCGATACCCGAAAGCCGCGGAAAGGAAGCTGGAGAACAACTAGCCTGGGTGCTGGTAGGCAGGCACTACCCCAGAAACAATGTGGCCCTAGCTAGGTGAATGTGGTTAGAATTACTATGTAAACCGCCCAGAGACCCTTCGGGGTCAGGGCGGTATATAAGCCGAAGATATAAATAAATATAAATAAAAAAATTAGTTAAACGCAAGAGGGTCCTATCGTATCTTTTTTTTTTTACAGAGGTCCTGTCGTATCTACGCAAGTCAAGTTCAGATGTGATTATACTTTAAGAGACTCATCTACATTCTCAGATGCAACAAGAGCTTAAAGCCAATTGGATACAACATCAATATCATGCTAAAGGATTCCATGACGGAGGCATTCTACCTGAGGTGAGTATGACGTTGCAAGCTTCTGCTAGTGGTGCGGCGGTTGCGGTTGCAAATCTTTTATAAAATTCCGGAGGATAACCATCAGGACCAGCTGATTTCCCATTCTTCAAGTTCTTAATGATATCAATGATATCTAGGAGATCGCGATGAGAGTCAGACAGTTTTCTAATTCCCAGGTTCAATTTTAAGTATGAGTGGATATCTTCAGAAGAAGGATTGTTGGAAGTGTAGAGAGATTGATAAACATCAGCAAAGATTTTATTTATTGATGTAGTATCTGTGCGTAGATTACTGCTCAAGTCTTTAGCTGCCATTACATATCTTGATGATCTTTTGTCTTTAACACGCCAAGACAAAAGACGCAAAGATTTTGGTGAATTAATCCAGTATTTTTGTTTTACATAAAGTAAGTTCTTTTGAATCTGCGAGCTATCAAGAAGTTCTAGTCGTTTATGTTCAGAAGTGAGTTCCTTGTAGATCTTTTTGCTGCCTGTAGCTTTATGTTTGTTTTCCAGAAGTGAGATTTTCCTAATTAATTCAGTTTTTAGTTTTGCCCTTTCCTTTTTCAGACGCAAAGACATAGATATAAAATGTCCCCTGAGTACTGCTTTGAGAGCATCCCAAATCATTGAGGGAGAGGTTTCAGCAATACAGTTTTCTTTTAAATATTGTTGGATGTGGCACTCAATGGATTCATTGCATTCAGCATTAAAAAGCAGAAACTTGTTTAATGACCAGGATTTTGTTGCAGGTTGTTCTAAGGATAGTTGAACTGTGCAACTCACCCACGCATGGTCTGACCAAGTGATGGAACTGATGTCAGAGTCAAGAATTTTGTGGACCATTGTGTTAGATACTAGAATAAAATCAATACGTGTGTACGTTGCATGTAGCAGTTGAGTAAAATGTATAGTTTCTATCTGTGGGATGTAATTGTCTCCATACATCATGTAAATTCTCACTCTTTCATGCCCTTTCAAAAGATCTCTAGCTTTGAGAATGGATTTTCTTTTTTTTTCAATTCCGGTTTTGCTTTTAAACGCTGCCATTCTCTTCACTGGATCTTCCTCCGCAACTGTTGACTTTTAAAAGTGCTTGTAAGACACTTTCTCGCTGTCACAGTTCAACTTTTCTCACAGTTCCCCGTCAGACTCACAGCCTTAAACAGTCCAAGCATTAATCAGCCGGCGGCTGGAGCCCGATTTCGAGGGAGGGGTACCCCCCTGTCCTCCTACGGACAGGTACCCATTTACCTAATTGCCCCCGAGGGGCTTTCGGACTGCTGGGTTGGCAGGAGCTGGGGCAAGGGTCGGGAGCTCACCCCGACCACGGTGGTATTCGAACCGCTGTTACAGCTGTTCGAGATGACTATTCCTACAGGTATTTAACTGCCTGTGACGCCGCCCCAGCTTAGAGGGGACACTGCTGGTGATTGACTGTGTGTGCACCTGGAAGTCATGGCGACCGACACCTCCTGGGGGCCAGGAGAACATTCAGAGACGTGGCTGAATAAAGCCTGCCCCCCGCCTCCTGACTGCTGGTATTCCTTTGAGGTCTCCCATCCAAGTACTTGCCAGAGTCGACCCTGCTTAGCTTCCAAGAGCTGACGAGATTGGGCTTCCCTGGGCGATCCAGGTCAGGGCGAAAGCCAGTTTTGATGAAGGAAAAGGTGGGAAAGAGGTAGGATTGTTTGAATGAAATAAAGTAGAAGAGAGGACTGCCTATATAAATTTGAAGATGGCCCAAGTTATATCAAACATGCAATTTGGGGTATATAAAAGATGATTACATACATAGAAAGGATCTGAAGGCGCAAGAGCAACTTAGATAGGATAGGAAGCTATGAATTGAATAGAACTGGATAAAATCGAGACTGGTTATGCAGAAGCAGACATAGATAATAACTGTGGTTTTACTCGTGGTAAAAAGTAGACTATAATTTCAGAAAACTAGGTAAGAGAGCAAGAAATGGAATGCAGGGTTCTGAACAATTTGCCAGTAGAAATGCAGAGAAATCAAATAGATGAGAACAGTGAAAGAACATACAGACAAGGATTACTGCAGGATTTTATTTTATTTATTTATTTATTCATTCATTCAATTTCTATACCGCTCCATCCCGGAGGCTCTGAGCGGTTTACATAGGTATTTAAACTTTCTAGCTAGGGCCACACAATGTAGGGAGGGTGATTGCCTACCAGGCACCCCGCCGGCTTTGATATTCCTGTGGCTTCCTCGTGGTGGTTCGGCGCGGCTCCGCAGCGGCTCCTTCAGGGGAAGTTCCCATAGACCGCGACTGTGCGACGACTTGCTGCACTGGCCTCTGTCCGATTGGCTCCGGCCATGCTGCGTCGCCGCGACCCTGGACCAGTCCCCGCCCGGAACGCCAGCTGCTTGATGTCGACTCGCCGCCATGTTCTTTTTCGCCGGGTCGCTCCACCTTTCCACCGCCGTCGCCTGCCGCCGGCACCATAGTTCTTCTTTCGTTGCCACTTTGCACCGGAGGCGGGTGCCCCCTGCACCTAAGGCAGGTACCCATTTATCTACTTGCTAGGCTTTCGAACCGCTGGGTAGGCAGGTAGGATTGAAGTGGAGTAATTTTAAAGAGAGATGCTAGAAGCTAGATGCTAGAAGCCCCCCTCCTCAGGTCTTCTCACCTGTTCTGTCTCCTAGACCTCAGTCCCCAGAGCCGCCCGTGCCTGCCTTGCCTTCTCTGGACAACCCCTGTAGCCTTCGGTGACCTGTTCTGTCTTCTCTTGCCCTTCCCCAGGCATTTGCTGCCATAGCAACCTCCCATTCAAGAGCCGAGAGCTCCTTCACTGATCCCAGCCGTGTCTCTGCTTTCCTAGCCACGTGCAGGCTCCTGAGCATCTGCTGTTATCGTCTCTGCCCCCACCCCCAAGTGCGCATTGCCTCCTTTTAAATGGGCAGCTCTCCCACACGGGTTCCACACACACACACCCCATCGCCAGTGGGGTATAAATCCAATCTCCTCTTCTTCTACTTATTCGTAACACAGCAGCAATACTGGTTCTTGCAGCTGCAGCATGATATTCCACAGAAGAAGAAGAGATTGGATTTATACCCCGCCCTTTCACTACCTAAAGGAGTCTCAGAGCGGCCTACAAACTCCTCTCCCTCCCCCTCCCCACAACAGACACCCTGGGAGGTAGGTGGGGCTGAGAGAGCTCAGAGAGAAACTGCTCTTTTTCAGTGATAGCTCTTGTCAGAACTACGGCTTGCCCAAGGTCATCCAGCCAGGTGCAAGTGGAGGAGTGGGGAATCGAACCCTGTTCTCCCAGATTAGAGTCCGTGCACTTAACCACTACACCAAACTGGCTCTCACAAACAGTATGTTCAGGCAGCAAGGGTAGGTAAGTGGAGGGGGATAAGAAGGGGATGTTGTCTCTGTCATATTATTTGTTGTTCAGTCGCACAGTCGAATCTGACTCTCCACAGCTCCATGGACCACATCATGCCAGGCCCTCCTGTCTTCCGTCGTGCTCCGGAGTTTGCTTAATTTCATGTTTGTT